CTTTACTCACTATCTTATTTCCATCATGGTGATAATGGATGACTTGAAATGAATGGCATTTCCATACCTAGTAGAAAATGAGTCATAACACTCTTATGTCCATGTATACCTTATGCATTCTATGACTGATAAAGTATATGTACTGGTCTAATACATTATCTTCCATTATTCTCAGTAACCCTGTGTCCAAATTCCTCTCATTTTTAATTTAGAGTGACTGCAATTTGGTAAAAAGCAAGGCTCAAGGATTCAGTGACATGATTCAAGAAAGCATTCTAATGGACAAGATTGTCCATTAGAAGAGGCATGGTATGGACAAGTCTGAGGTCATAACTAAGCAAATTGAAAATAACTAGAGATAATCACAGAGTCTGCAAATATGCATCAAGGGTTCAGGTGGGATTGAATACAGTGAGGCTAATTTATTAAAGTAGGAAATGAAAGATGTAGAACACAAATCATGTCACATAGTAAGAGTGATTATATTTTCATGTTATTTAAAGTTTTCAAAATCATTATGTATCTTAAACAAATATATAAATATTTTCACCCAAACATATGCACACACACTGTCTCAAAATCCCAACAGGTGCAGGGATCATTATAGAGAATGCAATCCTGTTAATTGGTGACATCAACAAATATAAACAGATTTATGTTGCCTAGTTAGTAGCAGCAGCATCCATCTCAATCCATTGGATTAACCCAGATCTAAATAACTTTCTCGGTTCCTTTGTTATTGGGCAACTGCATTTGTGGTACCCATATTAGTTACTTATTTTCCTACTTCCCACATCTTTACAGAAATCTTCTCCCCCTAATCTGTGAGGCATAGAGATGATATACTTCACTGGAATTTCCAATTCTTTCCCCTTTTGTAGAAAATATGAATATTGTCTTTGCATATTCTAGTTCTCTTGTGGTTTGGGGCATAGATTTGCAACATAAAACACTTCCCCTTGCAGTCACTGCATTTTTATGTCTTTGTTTTATTTTAATTTTAGCCCCCCTTCTTTATTTTCAATGTTATTCTACATTGATATAAAAGGTAATATCTCCAGAAGAAAATTCAAATTTGTAAAATAGTTTTCATATAAATTACATCAAGGCTGTAGCAATAGGATTCTCATTCGGGTCTTATTACTCAATAATTCACATTACCACAGCCTAACATTGTGAGAAAGTCCTGCATGAGAATATATATCAGCTTGTTCCAGGTAGACATGGGAAGATCTTCATGCAACTATGTATGTTATACTAGTTGCATTTAATATTCACTCATTTCAAGCATGCACATTTCCAACCAACTGATAAAGCCACCACGTGTTTACATGAAACATCCATCCATCAAGGAAATGCCCAACCCATTTCCAACTTCTCATGTTATTCAATCATCTATGCTACACTTTGAGAACTGAGTCAGCCATTTGATTAAAAAAAAGTGAGATTCCAAGACTCGTTATTCAGAGCCCCTTCCCTTCTCTAACTTCCCCACAGAAGTCCCTCTCAAAGGCACACCTCCATTCTTTCTCATTCCATGGAGCTGGTATCCTTTGAAGAAAAGTCTAGAGCCATTAAATAGACAGCTTTTGCAAGGAGACATTATTAAATTTTGACTAATCCTTAAACAAGCACTGCCATCAGGGAACATCCTTAACCACTGTGGAGATGGAAGGAATGTGTTTCCATTTATTAACAAAGTCCGCAGTGCAATTTAATATGCATGGCTTTCAAAAGTGATAAAGGAAACACCCTTTCCTCCCATAACCAGCCCTTCATCAGGCTCCTATTTACAAAAACTTCATTACATGTGATGACATTTTTATTGAATTTAAAAATACATTTACTACATGTGTATGGGTAGTAAAATCATCCTACTATTTTCAATTTCCCCATGTCTATTTTTGTAAAAAACAAGTAATATTCTCTTAGCTGCCTGCTGTTCTCTTCTGAGAGCAAATTACATGTGAGTCCAGAATTACTCATCCTCTAGGCTGTTTACAGATATTTGCTGATCTTTGTAAGAGAAACTTCTTCCCTTCATTTTTTTCCCCCTCAGTTGAACATTTCTTATGCGATTAGTTGCCAAACATATCATCTCTAAATTTGCCTAAAATCGGTCATCTTACTATGTCAAGCCTTGCTATTTTCAGAGATTAGACATTTTCTGTGCAAGAATATTTTAAGGAGAATAAATTTAGACAGCATGGGATAAACTCATATTTGTGTGAAAATAAAGCATCCTTATTGTTTCCTTTTCCTTATTGTTTCCTTTTGTGGTAAGTAGGAGAAAACTTCTTCAAGCAGTACTCATGTTTAGAAACAGAGAAAATACTTTCAGAAAGCAGCATAACCTCTCTGAGTGGTTAACTGAGCATAGCATAGGGAGAAAGAGCCCCCTAATGGTTCAGAGATCTAGAAAAACAGAAGAGGTCGTATACTCCCAATTCTTGATGGTTTGCTGTGCTAAAAGGAGTTACTAGGAAATATATCTGATACTATAGAAAAGAGTGGAGAGGTGAATAAAAAGTCAAAAATAACCTTTGCAAAAGATGCAAAGAAAAAAAATGAGAAATCCTAAGCTGAACTGACTAGGGAAGCTGCTAAATTTCAGCCTCACACGGATGTTTATGCACATGTCTGCTAGGACACTTGTCTTTCTCTATCACGTTCACTGAGAATCACTGATCTGGAATGTAGGAGACATATCAATTACATAGTTGGAAAGTGTGAAATGTTATTTGCAAAAGAACTTGCTTTCTTTCTAATCATGACACACTTTCCTATTAAGAAGATCAGGAATCAAATTCCTCATAGAAGTAATTACAGAATTTGCAAGATAATAAAAAGGAACATTTAAGTAACATTGAGAGTGAGCTAAAAAGAATGCCTAAGGACCGGAAAAACATAGTTGAAGAAATTATTGTAAAAGTCTTTATAAAGAAAAATCAATTATAGTCACAGGAAAATTTAAGAATGGATGTTTATATCTATGGTCTCCTAAAAAAAAATACACAAAGCTATTTGAAAATTAGGTATTTATCTCTCTCTCTCTCTCTCTCTCTCTCTCTCTATATATATATATATATATATACACAACTCAATATAACCCATAAATAAATAATATAAGGAAACTGTACTGCATACATAGGCTACACAGTTAGGATTATTGTAACAAAAATAGGGAATTTTAAATAATTTTGTTTATTAAATCTAAAAATGACTAGATGCATTAAATTTTAATTATAATCTCTGCTGATAGGTTGCATAAGCAATAAAATGGAAGGATTAAAAGCACAATTTTGGATAAGTTGCACAAAAAGTTAACATAAATAATACAATATGTGCAAATCAATAGCTTGGCAAGAGTGTAAGAAATTTATGATCAATGTTGTTATGTGTGGGTTTGACATAATATTGCTACTATATACATAAATGTATGGTCTTCAGTGCCTGCCACCATCCTCACTCAATATTTTGGTATTCGTTTCTCAAACATAATACTCATAGGAGAGGTATATATCTTTTTCAAATGACTCAATTCAAATATATTCAATAATCTCTAATACACAGCTCTATTCTTTTCAACAAATTGTAACTGATAAAATTCACAGCAATATAATTATTTACTTCTGATATGCTTATCATAAATGGAAATATCTATCTGTAATATTCATATTATTATGAAGCATTGAACATTTCCTATTTAAAATACAACATAGATGTCATGAAAACTAATAATTGCCTTCAAATAGGCAGATATATTTAGCATACAAGCCACGGTGAAACACACAGAAACACAGCCAGGCAGACTATGTTGTATTCCCAACTTCAGCTACGTTGCCTCTCAAGAGTCTTAGAAATCATGTTCTTATTTGAAGCATCGGACAAACAACATATTAAAAAGTTTTGTCACCTAATCACAGAAGCAGCTGGATCTTTGATTTGATGAGTGACTCAGGGAACTTCACTCAAAAGAACAATTGGAGCAGCCCTTGGGGTAAAATATTTCTCCTCATTGATCCAAAAGCAAATACATTGACATAAAGAATGTCATAGCCCCTTAGCTCCAGTAAGAATGAAATAGATTTATTTTTTTGGTCAGATATTATAGTGCTGACTCTTAGTCGTTGACTTTTGTGACCTACCAGCTTGAGGTCAATCAACTACATCAGTACTGCATTGCCCCAACTCATTATTCCACGTCCACCCAATCACTTCCCTCAAAACAAATAAATAAATAAAAATCCTGTTCCCAGCAGAGATTTAGAAATGTGCAAAGTTGCCCTAGATTCACAGACACTTTACCAGCACATACATCTCTGGCACTGACAACATTAATTGATGGGACTGCAGTTCTGGCTGTGAACTCTAGAATAGCTAAACATGCTCAGAGTCACATTGCTTTGCCTTAGTTCAGTACTTTGAGACCAAGTACTAGCCATCAATAACTTAGTCATAATATGACAGTCTACTGTCACGTCATTTAAAACACATCATATTTATACTGAAGCGTTAAGACTGCAATCAAATGGCAGATTTAGAAAAAAAGAAAAAACACTGACAACTACAGAAAAGCACACAGTAGCTTCTACGTCTGCATGAAATGTAACAGACAATGCAGTAATGGTCTTTTCATGTTATGCTATCATTTCCCAAAGTTGTTTAACAGTTAATATAAGTGAACATATTGAAGGCTATCACTCCACACACTCTGTTTAATATGGACTTTGTTTATTTTTCTTCTGAGTAGACTATGAGCCACATAAACTTATAATCTAGTGGTCTCTTTAAAAATAACCTCACAGATACCTGGAGACAAAATAGCAAATATATTCATATAAACAAGCATCAACACATTTCCAAATCCAGCAGCCAGTGTATTGCATTAACTTTAATACACCACTGCAAACTCAATTTGTAAAGCACGCAGAGCTGTGATGCATTTTACCGTGAATGACTGAGAAAGGAATCCAGAGATAAAAATGTAATTTCCTTACCTGGAGCATGAAACCGTTTCTGTTCAATTCTGGAACAAAGTAGGGCTGGGAAGAGGACTTGGTTTTTGTTTTCTTTGCAAAATCCTCTTTAATGATGCAGGAGTGAGATGAACTATTCCAAGGTGAAGTCTGTTATTTCATGCTGGGGCTCGGAGCTGACTTCCTCTTGTAAAGAAAAGGCTCCTCAGTAAGTTGTTGACTGAGGGAGGCAGGCAGCGAGATAATCGGCACCAGCAGGCAGCGATGCTGTGGAACGTGTGTGGCCTCCCTCCCCACCTGCCTTCCCTTCTCTCTCTCTCCTTTTCGCCCTGCCGCTCACTCAGCGTAAGTCTCAGCTCCTGCTGCTGCTGTATAATCAATCTAGCCTGTCTGAAGCTAATAGTCCTCTATTTAACCAGCCAATCAATAGCAAGGATGCCACTGTTACTCCCAAGAGTCTTTTCCAAGAGTGGTGCAAACAATAGGAGTTTTGCTAGCAGTTTGGCCAAGTGTTTTTCATTATTTTATCTGCCTTCCAGATAGAGCTTGAGAGAGCAAAGGCTCAAAGCAAGCTTAGTGCTATTGCAGCTTTTTTTGCATTTTAAAAATTTACCCCTTCTTAGCCAGCTGATATTTATGTATAATTACACACCAGCCCCTCTTACACATAATCACTTAGGAATTGCTATAGAGTTGCAATGTATGATAAAATCTTCCTAAGTCCTATATCTAAGAAAAAAAAAATCAGTAACAGAATTGCACATACCTACAAATGATTTTTGCTACAATCCATGACACCTTCTGTAGGCTGTATAGCTTGGAAAAATAAAGAATACCCCGTTTTATTGATTGGCATTAAAAGTTTTTCATTTTTTTCTAAAAAATGGGTGATCTATATTCTTGTTTCTCATAAGGAAGGAGGGTTGATGTTTGTAGATTTTTTTGAACTAGACTCTGAGTCAGATTTTAGAGTATCAGTGTTTTTCGATTTTAAAGTATAAATCTATAAAGGGATCCCTCTGAGTGTATCAAATAGAGCATTCCACACCTGATTCATCCTTCAAGGGTAAGATGGTTTTCTTCTTAAAGGGACACACTCACTGCTCAACTGCTGTGTCTGACCACAATAAAAGAGCACAGAGCCAACCACTGAAGACAAGACAGGTTTTTCATTTTCTGCAAGTTTCTAGGGGAAAGAAGAAAAAAAAAAAGCATTTGGGGCCAGTTGAGACAAACCCTAGAAAGCCTCTCCTAATTTCTAATTAGAAGGCAGTTGTGTATCTCTTTTCACATTGTTTGGTCAACCAGCATTTTAGTTTCTTTTTCTTGCTATAAAACATGACTGCACTCATTAAAGTAAATTGTATAAGAACCCTTAACTACACCTCAATTCCCAATTGAACTTAAATTCCAGGCAGTAGTCATTGAAGTTCTAGTCTTAACATCATATAATACAAATAAAAGTTTCTAATATGTGTTTAAAGTGTCTAGCAAATGAAGACTGTGAAGACCATAAGGAAGTATGGTCCTGGAGTTACACTCAATTAAAGTCCAAATTATAAAGTGGTGTAACACTTATTAGAGGCAAACTTCCTGATTTAATTGACTCCGTTCAGCAAATATTTATTGAGCAACTCTTTGTGTTAGGTCTTGGACTCTTGGTGATAGAAAAGTAATTAAGTAAAGGAGAGAACAGGTTTCTTTGTGTTCCTGTTAGTTCCAATATGCTCTTGTAGGAGTAGTCAATCTTTCCAGGAGCCTACATGCTGGTAACTGGATAAGAAGTTCTCTAGCAAGCAAAATACAGGGGAGGGAGATCGATGGTTCCTTTGCCAGTACTTTTGAGATCGAGTACTCAAAAATGAGATCATACCTCCTCTAGGAGCAGAAAGACCCTGTAAACAGCATGGCACTTGCAATCATTATCAAAGAGAATAAGAAAGGTTTTAGTGGTGGAGGAAAAAGGCAACAGAGGAGGGAAAGCAATAATGTAAACAAAACTAGAGTCAGAGAAGGGAAGAAAAATTAGAGGGATATTGAAAGAAGAAAAAAGTGGAAGGGGAACCAGTACACATGGGACCTAAAGATATGATTGGACAAGAAAGGAAAAAACACAGATGGTCATGGATATTAGACTGCATGTAATTGAGTATTAGGGAAATATTTTTTAAAAAATGATAAAATTTAGATTATGCTTTGGGAAGCTCAAACTCAAAGAAGGTTGGAGGTCATACTAGAAAGGGAACCTGCGTGTGAACAATCACTAGGATACCATGGCCAAGGTCTCTCTCTGGGGTAATAAAGGGAGAGCCAGTGGGGGTGGGGGTGAGCAGAATGAAGTAGTGCTGAAAAGATCTCCATCATAACCTCTGCATGACCTTGCACCCTACTGAAATGGGGTGTGGCTTATAAAGAGTAAATTTCAACCAAGATCTGTAACTATGAATAAGGTGAGTTATAAATGGTACACCATTTCTCTAACTCTCTGTTTCTGTCACAGTATTCAAACTCCCTTAATTATATGTATTTCTGTCATTTTATACAGTTTTCTACAATGTAAGTTCTGTGAAGGAAAATAACTGGATTTGTCTAACTCTTTTCCCTTGGATTTTTTAGCATTGGACCTGATTCATCCTACTTGCTCAATGAAAAAGAATAATTTCCATACTACATGACAAGTTCTGAGCTAAGAATTCTAATATTATCTCATTTAATACTCAAAATTTAATGAAATAGATATTAACATATTTTACAACTAAAGAAAGTGAAACTTGACGAATTGTCCAATGACACACAACTGGTAAATGTGTGTTGAATCTTGAAGTCCAATTTCTTAACAATGTTGAGTTTTCAGGAATGGCAGGTAATATAACAGAAAACAATAATCTGGATATTGATTTGGGGTCATATCATTGGAACAGATGGAGGAGGCAGCAATAAGTGAACAGAAAACAGAGGGCCAAAGGGATATATGTGAAGGATAGGAGTGAAGTTTCCAGTTGAATAACATGTGTTGAGAGTCAAGAGGATTATTGGAAGGTATTGAAGAGCTGTGTAGAATAGCAATAGATACTGAGGTACATTACCGTGGGGGCCACACCAAGTGGAAGAGGAAGGTGGCTGAGCTGTTCTGAGTCAGGGCTAAGCCTGCAAGCTGACCATTTCCCGTGGCACCAACCTGAAAGAATGCACAGATTTGTTGAGATGTGCTCAGCAATTTGGAGGCCTGAGAGATGAAAAGGATTCATACAAAGCAAAGTTTTGGTCTCTTAAAAGAAATTTGGCAGGAATAGGAAAAGAGAGAGATAAGAGGGAGGGAGGGAAGGAGTCCTGTTTCTTGCATATTTTGAGCTCTTTTAATTATTATTGGTAAATAGTATATATCTGAACATAAAGGGCTGTTTAAAAGAGAAATTGAGGAAGAAAGTGATGTTTAACTTACCAAGTTCACAAAAGAAATGCAAAGGTGAGGTCAAATGCTTCATGAGGATTATTTCTGACAATGATGGGGTTATTGCTTTGACAGCAAGAGTATTGAACAGATAAGCCTCATACTGAATATCGCAGGTGTCCCCCACTATATAAGAGCAGAGCATTCCTATGAAACCTTTCGAAGTCTAACTCATGAAGCAAAGAAGAAACTACCATTGAGTCAAAGTCATGGAAAATAGAAAAAAAAAAATTGAGTGCTTTCTGAACCCCAAAATAATCTACCAAACCATAATTACACAAAACCTACAATAAAACTAACAGGGTAAAAGCAGGAATGAAGCAATAAATAGTCAGTCTATATAAAGTAAGCCCCAGGAAGGAGCTTGGAGTGGCCACTCTCACTGCTTGGGGAAAATTTTACCTCTATTAGGGCACCTGTAAAACAAATACTGAATATTGTGAAGGATATTTTGGTTTTTGTCTATTGTCATAAAAGCAAAAGTCCTCCAGATTACTTTCATTCAGCAGAAATAGGTACTAAATTAGGTCTTTTGTGAAAGCAAATTGGCCTAATGCAAACTTTCAAAAAGCAGGAAATATCTGTACTCTGGAGAAGTGTTTATACATTCCAAAATAATAGCAAACACATTAACATTTCAAAGAACCTACCAGATGCTAGAGATTTAAAGATATAAGTAGGATTTCTTCAGTCTTCACATTGACAAATCTCATGAAAAGGTACCTATTAGCAATTATATAAAATGTATACAATTATTATTATGAGTATATTTTACAATAAAGTTTTATAGAAAGTCTTGAAAATCATACAAATGGAAAAGTCTGACAATATCAGAAAATGAGAAAGCAGGCATGGTGGACAAAGTAAAAAATTACATCAGTCATTTTGAAAGGAAACAAAAGTCATTTTAAAAGTAGGAAATAATAGAGAAGATGTTTGAGTTTAGTTTTGGATTCACACACTTTTAAATAATAGCAAATGATATGCCAAGTTGGACACCAAGGGATGGTTACCAGGGCAGGAAATGCCAATGAGGGATGATTTTTTTTTTTTTTTGTTACAAAGATATCTTTATTAAACCAAGTTTTTTATTCATATAGAATGATAAGGAAAATTATTTCAATATTTAGTGTGACATTTCTTTTTTTTTTTTTTATTTTTTTTTAATAAATTTTATTGTTATATTCCCCATACAATTGCAGCCCCCCCATTCTGACCCCAATCCCTCCCCTCCCACCCCCGCCCCCCTAAAAGTGTCTCTGGTTCATAGTTTTTTGTTGATTTTGATTTTCACTTTCTTATAGTTATTCATTTTCCTGGTCCCTTATTTAAGTTTTCTAGATTCCTGCTATGAGTGAGACCATCCGGTATTTTTCTTTTTCTTTCTGGCTTATTTCACTGAGCATGATCCCTTCCAGCGCCATCCATGTTGCTGCAAATTGCATGTGTTTATCTTTTTTGAATGCTGAGTAATATTCCATGGTATATATGTACCACATCTTCTTGATCCAGTCATCTATTTTTGGGCATTTGGGTTGTTTCCAAAGCTTAGCTATTGTAAACAGTGCTGCTATAAACATAGGGGTGCAGGTGTTCTTTGGAATTGATGTTTCTGTGTCCTTTGGGTAAATACCTAGGAGTGGAATTGCTGGATCATATGGAAGCTCTATGTTTAGTAGGTCCAGAAATCTCCACACAGCTCTCCATAGTGGTTGGACCAGTTTGCACTCCCACCAACAGTGCAGAAGAGTTCCTTTTTCTCCACAATTGAGGGATGATTTTTAATAAGAGAAAGTGAAAGGAGAAAAGAGTGAGCTCAGGGCGTGATTTTATTCCTGACCTATCTTTCCCTATAGTTTTGTGAAAATATCAAAGAAATAAATTCATGAAAAGGGAATTAACATACATTAGAAAGAATCTTTTCAGAGTTAAGTATTTTAGAAAAAGATGATGTTTTAGAAATAATATTAATAATAGTAAGATTTTGAAGGAATATTAAGTGTCAACAAGAGGTAAGAGCAGGTTTTAGTTGTGGGGATGGAAAGGAAGAAAAAGGACTGGATTTTTTAGAGGCTTGGGTTGCTAGGCTTAATG